ATTTTTTTTTATTATTTTTTTTTTTTTTTTTTTTTTTTTAGTAAAAAAAAATTAAGTGTTTTAAGTAAATGGTATACTTTATTTATAATAAACATAAAATTTAAGGAAGTTGAAAAAATAATTTGTATGAAATTTTACATTTTTTATTTTTCCAAGTTGTATTTTTACAATAAAAAAATGAAAAGAGTAAGTAGAAAAACAATTAGAATTTTCATTTCCATGTATTATATTCTTTTTTTTTATTGATGTATATAATATCATATATTTATATTTTTTTTTTTTTTATTTTTAGATTGAGTTTTTTTTAAAAAATCGTCTAAATGTTATGATATGCCAGGGTATATTGAAAGAATGGAATCATTATGTTAGAATTAAAAAGGTTAAAAAAGTAATTCTAGAAAAAAAAAAATCATTAATGAAAGAAAAATATTTTCAAATATGGCAAATTAGATATAAAAAAGTAAGAAAGAGAAAAATTGAAGAAAAAAAAATTTACAATGATAGGCAATTAAAAAGAATGAATATTTTAAAAAATATATATTATAAATGGAAGAATAAATATTTAGAAAATAAAAAGATAAAAATATTTGTATGTGTAATTAATAATTATTTATTAAATAAATTAAAATATAGAACTCTTCTTATTATTTACAAAAACAATGAATATTACTCAAAGCTGCAATTATTATTAAATCATTTTTTATTAGATAAAAGCAATAAATTAAAAAGATATATTCTGCATATATTAAAAAGCAATAAAAATAGCAGAATAAAAAATAAAAAATCTTTCCTTTTTTATTGCAATAATATGAAAAGAAGAATATTTACAATTTTAAGAAATTATAAAGAAAAAAGGATAATTTATAAAAAAAATGTACAAATATTGAAATATAGGAAAAAACAAAAAATATTTTATGCTTTAATTAATTTTTATAATTTCATTAAGAAAGTAAAAACCAACTTTTATCATATTCATTTAAATGCTGAATATAAAATCAAAAAGAATTTCTTTACCTATTGGTAAGATTAAAATGAAATAAAAAATTAAAAAAAAATCATTAGAACAAGAAGATAAACAAAAATAAGAAAAAAGAAAATAAAATGATACATTTAATAAATATTTATATGTATATATTATATACTTTTGCTTTTTTTTTTTTTTTTTTTTTTAAATCATTATTCATATGTCTTAATGAATTAATATTATATATTACATTAATTCTGATATTTTCATTACTATTATTATTATAAAATATATATAAATATATTTCAATTATTTCTATATTTATCATTTTTATTATTCTTTATATTTTAGGTTTAACTTTTTGATGAGAAGAAAAAAAGAAAGAGAAATATTTGATAATCTAAAATCAAAAAGAGAAAACAAAATAAAGGAAGAAATATTTTTTGAAATTAAAAGAAAAATAAATAAAAAAAAAAGGATATTTTATTTATTAAATAAAATCAATCAATTAATAAAAAATAAAATGTATAAGTATGGTATTTATAAACTTGAGATATATAGGAAATATGCAAAAATACAAGAGGTTAAAATAAATAAAATATAAATTAAATGAGTTTATATCATTATATTTTTGTTTTACTAAAATATACTATTTCATTTAATTATTTATTTTTTAGAATATTATTTATTTGTTATATATTTTATTATTAATATTAATACTATCTATCTATATATATATAATTTTTTTTTTTTTTTTTTTTCAGAAATTATATTTAAAATTAAGAAAAAGATTAAATAAAAAAACATTAAATAAATGTTTTGAAATTATGAAAATTAGAATAATGAAAAAGAAAAGAAGAGAAAGTGAACATATTATGATCAAACGTTTTTATGAAAATTTAATAAAAAAAAAATACATGAAAATAATTTCTGCAGTTTGTAAAGAAAAAATGAAAAAGATGAATCACATAATTCAAATAGCAAATAAAAATAATATTATGAATTATTTAAAAAGATATTTTGTGATTTGGAATAATTATATTAAAAAAATAAAAGAATATAAAATTATTGATAATATAATAAAATTAAAAAAAAAAGCACGTATTTTTTTCATATTATTATATATGAGGATACAAAATAATTATAATAAAATTTCAATTATATATAGTATTCATAAATTATTTTATTCAAAATTTTATGAAATACCTTCTTTTAATCAAATAATTGAATATAATAATACCAACTCAGAATATATATATGAGAATAAATATCAATGTGTACATAATATTATTACAAAAAAAAATAATAATGAAATAATTGATAAAAGAAATAACATAAACACATTTAATATAAAACCCAAACCTGATAGTAGTATTAAAACATTAAATGCATTTTTAAATTTAAAGAATTTTATAATTTTAAATAAAATCTATATTAGTATGGATAAAAATTTTGATGATTCATTAAGAAAAAAATATTATAAGAGGAATGATAATTTTAACAATTTTTTGAATATATGTTATATTTTAAGAAAAAATATAATAAATAGATTAGTATTAAATTACATGTTAATGTATGATTTTTATGACATTTATAAATTTTTCATACATTTTAAAAAAAAATTTAAAATTTTATACATCTACATTTTTAATTTATTATCAGTGAGAACAAAAAAATTATTGCTAAATTTTTTTAAAAAGAATACATCATTATATTTTATCAAGATAGCTAGTATGAAAGATGAAGAAATTAACAAAAATTTTAAAATCTTATTATTTATTTATTATATTTTTAGTTTCTCATTCACATTTAATAAAAATAATAAAAAACTAAATTATTCAAATATATATTTTATTATAAATCATATATTTGTTAATGAAGGGGATAATTTACAAACAAAATTGAAAACAAAAGAAAATTATAAAAAAAAAAATAATATTAAAAATATTATACAGAAGAAAGAAATTATCAACAAAAGATTATTATTTAGAGAAAGCAATCAAATAATAGACACAAATAATAATGATAAATTGTATTCTTTAAGTGAAAGTAACAGTTCATTAGATATGTCTTATTTATCACATTCATCATATTTATCTTCATCTTCTTCCCTTGTGAAAAATGAAGAAAACGATGACAAAAGAAATTTGAAAATCTTACCAGTAAAAATGGAAAATAATTTTACAAAAAATTCTTTTGAAAAAAATATGATAATTTTTTTTAAAAAATTGCAAAGTTGCATATTAAGTAATTTTAAAGAGAATAATTTAAATATCAAATTTTCCTTTTTATTAAGAATGAATAAAGATAAATTAATTCATATTTATTTATTTTTTAAAAAGCTAAAAAAATCATTGTTTGTATGGAAAGATTACTGTATACTTAAAAAAGAAAGAAAAAAAATAGATATTTTAAAAATAAATAAAATTAATGATAATATAAGAAAAGAATTACTAGAAAAGTACTTTGGTACTTGGATATTGTCATTTAATAAAAAAGTTAAAGAAATAAAAACAAAAAGAAAGAAAGTATTAAGAAAACATATACATTTACTTCTCATTTATTGGTATAAACTTATTAAAGTTAGTAATTATGATAAAACGAAATTTTATGAATTAAAAGGAAAGATTGAAAATAGATTAAAAAGCATTTATTTTAAAAAAATTATTTTATTTTATAAAAAGAAAATCAGAGAAAAAAAGATTTACGAAATTATAGAAAAAGATAAAAACAATAAGACAAAACAATGTTTTTTTTATGTATGGTTATTATTATATCAATATGAGAAGAAAATTTATTTTTTATCAAAAAAAATTAATTCAAGATTATTAAAAATGTTTTTTTGCAAATGGCAATGTTTATATGAAGATAAACAAACATATGGAATTTTTATTAATGTGTTGAATCAGAATATTTTGAAAAAAATATTTAATTATGTAATTTATAGATTTAATTATTATCATTTTATAAAAAAAAAAAAACATTCTTTGCAAAAAAAATACTTTTTAATATTCTATAATATAATTAAAAAAAATCAAATTTTTAATAAATTACAAATATACATATATTCTTCTTTACAATATAAGAAATTAAGTTATTTGTTTTTTTTTTGGTATAATAGGTATAAAAAAAAAAGTAGTTGCAAAAAGAGTTATTTAGAATATCAATCAAAAAAAAAATATTATTTCTTCAACAAATGGATATTTATTTTTGTAGAAAATAAAAAGATATATGATAAAAAAAGAGAACAATTTTGTAAATTTTTTTTAAAGATATATTGGAATAAATGGAGAACTTTTTATCGCTATAAGAAATTAAAAAATAAGAAGAATGAAAATTTATTAAAATATCATTATTTAAAATTAAGAAAAAAATATCAAATGAATTTGTCAATAAACACATTTATAAACAAAAATAAAAAAAAATTAGAAAGCACAGCTTTTAATGCTTTGAAGGAATATAAAAATTTTAAAAAAAATAGTAAAAGTGTTAAAGAATATTGTCAAAAATATAACAATAAATATATTTTAACGAAATATTATCATCTGTGGTTAAGTGAATATAATAAATTACAAAAAATAAAGAGTGCTATTAATCATTTGATTATAATAAACAACAAGAAACATGTAAGAGTAATTGTTAAATATTGGTTACAATATACAAAAAAAAAAAAAAATCTTCGAAATATTTATGAAATAATTAAGCATAAAAATAATAAAATTATTAAAATTATTTTTTACAAATGGAGAAATTTATTTCATTTTATTATATACCAGAAACATAGAATTATGGGGAAATATTTTAACATTTGGATATTTAATTTTAAGTTCGTTTTGTTTATAAATAAAATAAATATTTATTTTTATAATATTTATCAAAACAATATATTTTATTTTTATTTTATTTTAAAAAAGAAAAACGAAAATTTTAATTTACTTCAAAATGGTTCTTTTTTTTTTATAAAAAAACAATTAGAGAGTTTTTTGGATTATAAAAAAGATCTTTTGTATAAAATTTTTACTTCCATTAATACTTACACGAAAAAAAATATTACGTTAAGAAACTTGTTAGAAAACTATAAATTAAGAGTTATTGATAATAATAAAAGGAAATACTTTTCTATTTTACTAAAATATAAAGATGAAAAAAAGAAAAAAGAACATTTGAATAATTTGTTTTTGAAATATATTATAGAAAGAAAATTTATTATCTATAAAAAATATTTCTTCATAATTACAAATTTATACTTTTACAAAAATCATTTGAAGTTTTGTGAAGAAACAATTGAAACTAGAAAAAACAAAAGAACACTACATATTTATTTAAATAAATGGATAAACTACAATATTTATTTTAAAGAAAATTTATTTTTACAAAATTTATGCGATAATTTTTTATCTTATAGAAGAAAATGTGAATTTATAATTTCATTAAAACAATTTTATATAGAAAATAAATGGAAGAATTATTGTGAATATAATTCTCTAATTTTTTATAAAAAAATTCAAGAAAACACATTAGTGAAACTTATAAGGTATTGGAATAATGGATCCTATAATTATTTTGAAAAGAAAAAAAAAGTTATTGACATAAAACAAAAATATAATTTCAATGTGATGAAAAAATATTTTTTTCTCCTAATCTTTTCTATTAACAAAATAAAAATTGAAAAAAAAAATTATGATATAGTTATTTTTAAAAAAAATAAAACAATAAAACAAAAATTCTTTAATATGCTCTATGATATTACTATGAAAAATTTAAATCATTATGAAAATATAAAAAAATTAAGTGATGAGCGTATGCAAAAACAAATATTAAAAAAGTATTTTTATTCTTTATTTTATTTTTTACAGAAGAAAAAAATACTTAAAAATAATCTTCTTCAAATTAAAAATATTAACAATGTTAATCTTATTAAAAGATATTTTTATATTTTTATTTTTAAATATGTAAATAATATTAATCATTATAAGTATTATTATTATAATAAATATTTATCTATATGGAAGTATTATATTGTTATAAAAAGAAATAAAAATGACCAAGAAGAAACAGATGATGAGGAGGTGGATGGAAATTATGGAAATTTTGATTACGATTACGATGAGTATGAAGAAGATGAAGATAAAAAAGTTGAAGAAAAAGATAAAATTAAAAAGAACATTTATGATGGAAATAGTGAATCTGAGAAAAATATAAAAGAAATTAAAGAAAATAATAGTTTACCTTTTGATAATAATATATCAAACAGTTCTTCAGAATATACATTAAAATCTAATTCTCATTTAAATAAAAATGATATAAAAAATGAAAACAAAAATAATCTTACTAATAGAAACATAATTTCTATTAATAGTTATATAGATTCATCATCTGAAACAAGAGAAGAAAGTGATATATCAAAACTTATTAAATTAAATAAAAATAAATTAAAAAGTAAATTAAGTGAAAGCTCTAATTCTTGTTCTGTTTAAAAAAAAAAAAATAAAAATAGTAACATATATATGTATATATATGCATACAAAACTATTATTTGAAGAACAAATGGATATTTTTAATTTCAAAGTGAAACTTAATTTTTTTCTGATAAACTCCAATATAGTATTTTTTGTACCTTATTTAATAAGTGCCAAATTATTTTATTTGGGAAAACTTCAATGTTTTTTTTTTTTTTTTTTTTAAATAATCTTCATATAAATATTTTTTATGAAGAATATAATTATATTTAAAATTTTTTTTTTCTTTTACAGTTTGTACATTTTTAGTAAAACTGTTTAAATTACTTCCGTTGTTTTAATATATTTTTATTTAAAATAATATAATAATTATATATATATATGTATATATACATATATATATATATATATTATATATATATTTATATATATATATATATATATTTATTTATAAAAAACAAAAATTTCCTTTTTTAAAATATTATTTTAATAAAATTACCTACACAATTTTTTATTCATTTTTGATGCATGTGCTACATTTTTAAACTTTATAAATGACTTTTTGAATTTAAGCAATATATAAATTTTTTTAAAAAAAAACTTTTAAAGACTTTTTTTTTAATTACAAATTTTATAATTTTAAATATTATGTTTGTATAATGAAAAAAAAAAAAAAATGAAATTACATGTGTGACAAATTTCTCATAAAAAACGTGTGACTATTTAATTGCAAATATCGTGTAAAAAATGAAGTTCTAAAAATAAATTTAAAGACATTTTTGAAAAAATTTTAAGCTTATCGTTATTTTTTATTTTTTTTCACATTTATGAAAAAAAATTAAAAAAAAATGTATTATTAAAGAAAATTCTTAAATAGTTTTTTCTGAATTTTATTTTTTTCGTTCTCTCTTCTATTTTTACTTAAATAGAGAATTTTTTTTAAGTTAACATTTTCTAAAACATCATTACAGTGAACTTAATTTGTTTATATATACATCCCATTTTAAATGTGTTAATTTTTTAAAAACTATTTTTTATTATTTTTAATATGTATTAAAATCTTTATTATAAAATTACACACTTTTTTTCTTTTTTTTTTTTTTTTTTTTTTATTAGAAAATAAAAACTATTTAAACTCTACATAAATTTGTATAACATTTGTGTAAAATATATATTTTTATTTATTTATTAAATTGAATTAAAATATATATATATATATATATATATATATGTTTATGAAAAATAAATATGTAAATATTTTATGTGTTTCAATATGCAACATTTGTAAATTGTAACTATAGAACAATAAATTATTAGTAATGATTGAGTTTTTTTTTTTTTATTTATGAAAAAAAATATATATTAAAATATATATGTATTTTATTATTTTTATGTATATTAAACCTTTAAGATAAAAAAAAAATTACCTACTGTGTATGAATTTGTTGAATATATTTTATATTTATTGTTTTATAGATATATTTCTTTATTTTTATTCCTTTTTTTTTTTCTTTCTTTTT